AGAGCAACAACCAAAAAGGGCAGATCCTTCGCAGCTGGCCCAGTTTGGTGTTTAATGGCAACAAGAGCAACAATATCTCTGAAAACAACAGCGAAAGCAAAAGCAATAAAAAGCTCAGCCGAACTGGCATATTACCTAAAGCAGAAAGCAGGACCGGCATTAGTATGGAAAACACTTACGACAAGAACAATGTCAACAACAAAAACAGGAATAAAGGGAGGATTGCGTGGATTCATGCTTTACCGCTATTTGACGACAGGAACAAAACCAACAAAGCAACGTGAAGGGCAGAAGCAGTGCAAAGAATTTCATTTAGATGTAGAAAATCCGTAGAAATAGTAGAATAGAAGGATTTAACTTAGGTGTCATGTATGAAAAGACATATAATCTGTGTTTCATCCCTTAGCTGTAAACACAAACCGGATTATGCGTGCGGGTAGGAGTGGGAATTACCATCAGAACAACCTCCTTTCCGCCATGTACTGAGTGCTCAGCGAGTTCACAGAGAAAAGGTGAACGTGCACATTGACAGTATAAAGACAGTAGGTTAGCAAGAACCGCTGGTCGATGATTGAGACGTCCAAGAAAAGTGGCATAGTTCATAGTGCGACTACTTATGGGATTCTAGTACTTGAAGCTGACAGTAATATGAGGGAAAAGATGTACTGAGAATTAACGTCTTGTAGTAATATCATGGAAAATAGTACAATTTGAGATCGACGAAGGCGTTTCCTGGTTAACGGATAGTGAAGTAGAATGTGTCATCGGGATGAGTACGCGCAGATAAGGTTTTGAGTCGAAAAAGTAAGAAACTTTGCAGAACGCAGGCTTTTGCAAAAGGCAATACCTCAGTAGCAAACGCTGCCGAAGCATCCTGAGAGTACTGTTGTTGAAACTGTAGAGTTTATTAAGTAGGAGATGAATAGCCCGGGGAGTGTCAATGTCGCAAGTAAACGCGAAATCAATAGTCTCCTGGTTAACTACCTTATTTCTTCGCCCGCGTATTCCGTGCTTTCGACGCTTTCGAGGGAATGGAATTTGAAAGTATGGGCTTTTACCCATAATGAATGGAAGCAGTCCTTCTGATATATTGCCATAAGCCATGATGCAGTTATTAAGTCCAAGAGGGTAAGTCGTGTTAATGATCCGTATCCAGAAACAGTCCTGCTGAAATAAGCTAGTGGTTGTACTACCAACATATTCGACTGTTTCAACGCTCATGGGGTTTAGTCCATGCCCACGCATCTGATAGTGATTATAAAGAACAGTATTTTTTTGGCGGGCAACATTATATCTGTGCTCCCTTGTTCGAGATTGTAGAGTTCGTTTGGTTTGGCCTACACACTGTATGCCACAAACCCTGTACGTAATTGCGTAAATTGTACTAGTTTTTTTGCAATTAAATAAATCATTTGGATTGCATAGAGGAACAAAACGGGAGCCGTTGACGGAGAATTGCACCAACCTGTTCGAAAGAATCGTACGGCAGCATGTGCTACTGCCGCCGCAAGCATGTGTGTAATAGCGAATGTTATCATCAGTTTCAGTAATTTTGGAGATCCATCCATGCACATCAGTAAGGGAAAGTCGCTTTAAGTCGTGTCCACCCGGTTCTTCTGTTAAAACGTTCATGGATGGTCAACCGGATGAAAAAGCTTGGTTAAATCTACTGTTTTGGTTTGCTGACTATAGAAAGAAGGAATGCGCCCGGCCAAAGGCACAAACCCTTTTAGGAACCGTGCAGCTGGGCAGGATTGCTGCCTGTCGGGCTACGGCCAATACCCAGATTATCCCTCCAGATTTAGTAATTAAAGATTTGAAGAGATCAGAGGCATTAACAATGATATTCGCTGAAATATTGTTGCGGGGCAGTTTAGTGGCAGCAGCAGCAGTTCAAACGACATCGCAGACCGTCAACCTTAACGATAAGCTTAGTGCAACAATAGCAATATCAGTAACAACAATGAAAAACGCTTTTTTCCACATTCATAAATAATCGCTATTCGAAGTCTACAACAGTATCATTAACCCTGAGAGTAGCAGCAAAAAGAAAAACAATGCAAAGTATTTCATTAGGATTCACT